AGGCCACCTGCCCTTAACCAGCAGGCTGCACTGGCCCTGGGGCCCTCTGAGCCCCTTCCTAGACTGGGGTGTGACAGATGGCAAGAAGTGTGGCCGGCTCCATAGAGCTGGGCCTAAGGAGCTGATCAGAGGCACAGGGGCTCCCACCCCCAGCAGCTGTTCCTCCAGCCCTGCCTCCCCTCTGCTGAAGTCAAGGCAGGAGGCATCCATCTTGGCAAAGGGACCCAGGCCCCTGGCGCCCCATGCTGACTTGGAAACCCCAGCTCTCTGGGCCCAGCCAGGCAGGGTGAGGGGCAGCTGTGCCAATCTACCTCACGGGTTCACACTCTGCCAGCCATGCCATGGATCATGGGCAGGGAAGGCTCTGGGGGCAGAAACAGCACTCCCTCGTCCCCCCAGAACAGCCTGAGGGTCCCAGGGGCTCTGGAGAGAGCAGGGTGGGGAAGAGGGACTGGCCCTTCATAGGGAAGGAACCCAGCGCCCATCTCCATTCTCCAGGAGGCGTCCAAGAAGTGCTTTAAGTGGTTTGCGTGGACCAGGCGGTGGAGAACAGGGGGCCTCGTGCAGCTGTTTCACGCCATCCTTCCCCCGGTGATGTCCACCACCTTGTCACCAGCCCTGTCCCATCGCATACACCCCGTGAGGAAGCATGGGGACCCCAGCCCACCCTGTGCCCTTCTCCAGACAGGCCTTAGCCACGCCCATGCCACTGGCCTGGTCCCACGCAGCTCCCAATGTGCTGGCTCACCCATGTGCGTGTCTGTGTGTGTGTCTGTGTCCATTGCTGTCTTGTGAAACTGTGCCCGTCACCCAGTCCAAACGAGTGAGCGGCCATTGAGGCCACAGTTATGCAACTTTCAGTGTGTGTCATGACAGTGTCACTGCTTTTTAAACTCGATAGCTCTTTATTTTAGTAAAATGCCCCAAGAGTCGCTGAGGCTCCTGTTGGACTTGCAAAGATTTTATTTTTTTGGCCTTAGGATCTGCAGAGTTTAGGAGGTACCGACCCCAGTGCAGCAGCCCTGTCCCTGGACTGCATTTGCCTTAGCAGATATGTTTATACAGATGAGTATAACAAGGTCTTTTTCTTTTGGTGTAGTGCTTTTTATTTTTTTCCTCCCTCTCACCCCAAAAAAAGAAAAAAAAAAGCTACTTCTTCATTTGGTGGTACGATTATTTTTGTTAACTAAAATAAGATAAAATTCTATATTCTTATGTGTGTGTGGTTCTTGTTGGTTGATGGGGGAGGGAAGGGGCGGGGAAAGGAGGGGACAGGGACAAGGTCACCTGGACACTAGGGCAGCATTTGCTCAGGTGGCTCCTGTGTCATGTCAGATGCCAGGGAGAAGAGGGGACCCTCCCTAATGGGAGAGGTTGAATTTCATGCCCAACTGCTATCACTAGGCACTAGGCTAAGCCCTTTGCACATATTAACTCATTTAATCCTCACAACCAGCCCGTGAGGGGGGTGCTATTTTATTCCCAGACAGGAACAGGGAGACCCAGAGAGTCCCCTAGAGGCACACAGGCCTGCCGGGCGGCAGGGGGCAGGCCTGGGTGCTTCAGGCCCTTCCCCCTGGGCCCCCACCCATCCAGCCACCAGGCCTGGTGAGTTAAGAGGACGGCACTCAGGGGGAGTGGCACCAAGGCCACAGGGATTCTGGATTGATGCTCCCTAGGCCCCCCCAGACTCTCCCACACACACAGAGACACCCCCAGCCTCCCCCACCACACACACAGGCTAGGGTATTGGGGTGACGAGGAAAGATCAGGGTGCGCCCTGTGTGGCTTTGGACAGATCAGGCTCCTACTGGGTCTCAGTCTCCCCATCTGTTTGATGCGAGGGTGGTCTAGGTTCTCAAGGTCTTCCCAGCCCTATGGTTTCCAGGTAGGGTGCCCCCATCTCCCAGGTGCAACCTGAGTGGGGTGCAGGTGGGAATTTGGGATTAGGCTGGGCATCGCTGCCCCCACGTGGACATTGCTGGTACTACAGCGGCCACTCTGCCCTCTGCCTCTGGCTTCCTCACAGGGAGGGCTGTGTCCTTGAAGTGTTTTTCCTCAGGAATGCCACCACCACATGCCACCCAATCCCTGAGATGCCACCATCATTAACACAGCATGTTAGGCATTGCCTTTCCATACTCCTTCCCCAAGGGAAGAACATCAGAACCACTACCGTCCTAGCGCATAAGGGTCTCAGAACCCAGGGACAGAGGATGGTGACAGGAAAGGGCTAAGAGTCAGGCTCAAGAGCCCCCACCCAGCTGGCCCAGCAGTGAATACAGACCTCAAGCCTTCAGCATGTGAGAGACTGGCCGCTGTCCCACTCCAGGGCCCTCCACCAACAGGTCTCAGTGGGGAGGGGACCCTCGGCCCTGGTCTGTGCAAGACCCCCCCACTCCCAGCCGGGGCAGAAGGGGCAGGCTGAAGAATGAAGAGGCCTGAAGTGATTTAGGGGCCAAGAGTGAGAGAGGGAGACGGCTCCTTAAAACCCTTCCCAGGTCCCGCCCTCTCAGTAAGCTGTCCCTCCACTGAGTCCAAGCCCCTGTAACCAAACACCAACCCCCTCACTCAGCCCCACTGAACCCACTCAGTGAACCCCCAGTACTTCCACCTGGCTTTGAGGAGAAACCCTGCCAGCCCCGAGGCTGGCCCCTCAGTGGGCCTCACCCAGGATGTAACAGCTGCCAGCCGAGAGTCCTGTCCCCGTGACTAAAACTGTCACGACTAGGTGCCACAAGAAACTCAAAGGTGGGTTTGGAAGCAAACAACTGTTTTTTCAAGTTGTTTCTTCTCCTTTTCTGTGTTAAGGAGCTGTAACCACCAGCTGTCCTGAAACTAACCAGGCCTCACCACAAGAGCTCCCCCCATGACCTTTGCCTTTAATACAAAGATCTCGCCAGGAGGAGCTTAAGCCTCATTATGTGGAAGCATGTTCTCTTCCTAACCCTGTGCAAGCGAATACCCGCCTCTCCCTTTTGAATCTTCATTCCCCAACTGAAATAAAAGTTCCTGCTTCCCTTTGTTCGGGGACGCCATGACTTTGGAAATGATTCCTCATGGCCTCCTATTTGCTGCAAATACACTTTACTTTGTGAGACAACTTCCACTGGTGTAGAGTTTTATTTAACCCACCAGGAGGCAAGCCCACTTGGTTCAGTAACACAACTATAGGCCCAAGTCAGTGCACCTGCCCTGTTTCTCAGGCTCTCATCACCCCCTACTCCTCACCTTGGCATTGCTTCTCCTGAGTTCCCCCTCCCCTCAGCCCAGCCTCCACCAAGTCACCCATGGTGATTTTTACAGCACAGTCTAGCCCTGAGGGGCTGGGGGACACTGAGTTCCCAGATCCTGGAAGGTCCCACTCCAGGCCATGCAAAACACGAGGTTCAGCAGCATGGGGGGTGGGGCTTT